TAATTGAAAAATAAGTTTTTTTCTGTATAGTTTCAATTGTATATAATTTTTTAAACAAACAATAATTGTATTTCACCTGATGATTATAACAGCATGAAACCTGAAGTTGTAAAAATCACGTAGTTTAATTTTTTACTATATATATATATTATAGCTTAGACATAATTCATCAAGCGCTTTCTTGATAGTATATGCACGAAATAGCATCACTTCATATATATATATATATATATATATATATATATATATATATATATATATATATATATATATATATATATATATATATATATATATATATATACACATTATCGGACAAAACAAGTGCAACCAAATAATGCTAATTTAGTTTCTTTAAATAAGTGCTGCATTTTTTCAATTAAGAGAAAAAACTATGTAACTGTTTAGAGACAACGTTCTTCAGATTATATTCATCACAAAGTTTATTATTTGTACACAGAAATTAATAAACTAATCAAAAGTATTAAAAAAAAATTGATTTCCTTCTGACAAAACAAATGCAACTCTACAAAATGTTGACCAAGTTGTATTTCGCTATCAATATTTTGTGGCGAATCCTTTGTTGTCGATTACAGCCTTGCATCTTCAAGGCATAGATTCGATCAGGTGATCTATTAAACTCTGTGGAATCGCTGCCCAGACTTTTTGGATTTGGACAAACAGTTGATCCTTATTATAAACACCTTCACGATTTATTCTGTGGTTGACGATCTTCATAAGGTTCTCCATAGGGTTGAGATCTGGAGATTGAGGTGGCCAATCCATCACTGATAGGTGGTTGTCTTGAAACCACTGCTTGACTACTTTTGCAGTGTATTTCGGATCATTGTCTTGCTGAAAAACCCATTTTATTGGCATATTCCATTTAGCATGAGGTAACATAACATCTTTCAGGATATTTTCATGAAACGGTCCATTATTCCATCGTTTTGATGTATTTGACCTAAACCGTTAGTAGAAAGACACCCCTAGTCCATTACATTGCCTCCACCATGCTTCTGTGTGGTTAACAAGTGCCATTTTGCAGCGGAGAAAACAAGTGCAACTTTTTTGGTTTGTTTCATTTTCTTAAGTCTGGCCCATGTCAACGTAATGAAAATTTTTTAATAATCAAAGGAAGCATCCAGATGTTTCCAGAAGGATGCAGAAGCTTTCAGAAGTATCCAGAAGAAGCATCTGGAAGCATCCAGAAGCATCTAGAAGTATCCAGAAACATTCAGAAGCATCCAGATGCATCCAGAAGCTTCCAGAAGCATTGAAAAGAAGTATCTAGAATCTTCCAGAACAGGTTCACACAGGTTCATTTTACTATATAAGAGACATGTAAACCTACATGTAATTTAGTCAGTATATGGAAGTCAATCAGTCAGTATTATTAAGACAGTTTATCGAAATGAGTTTTATCAAAGAACATCAGTACAAGAGGTGAAATACAACAAGTGTTTCATTACATCAATACAGTCCACATCCAAACAAGCTGTTGTGTTCCACAGATTATTATTGTATTATCATAAGGTAAATGTAAAGCGGTAAGCCTAGAGAAGCGGGATTATGTATTTTTATTATTTTTATGACTTCAAGTGTAAAAATGGCTCTTCGCAGTCTTGGAAAAAGGCGATTACGTAAGTGGAATGTCACAAAAAAGTATTTTTGATAGATATCGCGTGAAAAAATGGACCGTATTGAGACTATATTCAAAATATCATTTTACGGGGAAGTTGGCAGCAGATAAAAAAGGTGGAAGACTGCGTTTTACCAGTTCTAGAAAGGATTCTATTATCGTCAGATCTGTCAAGAAGGATCTCTGGATATCATTAGTCGAGATACAAAAGCAATTAAAGCTGCCTGTATCGGACCGAACAATCAGACAACGTGCTGTTGAGGTCCCGGATTGTTTTCTCTATGCCCTGCAAAGAAACCGCTGATTTCATTAAGGAACCAGAAAAAAAAGTCTCCTGTTTGCTGATCTCATATTGGCTGGAATGTGCAGAAATGGTGAACTGTCCTGTTCTTTGATGAATCGAAGTTCAACATTATTGGGAGCGATGGCAGTAACATAAAATCCCTTGTTTTATATTACTGCCATAAGACACGGAAGCATGGTGGAGGCAATGTAATGGACTAGGGGTGTTTTTCTGCTAACGGTTTAGGTCAAGTACATCGAAACTGAATAATGGACCGTTTCATGTATAAAAATATCCTGAAAGACGTTATGGTATCTCATGCTAAATGGAATATGCCAATAAAATGGGTTTTCAGCAAGACAACGATTCAAAACACACTGCAAAAATAGTCAAGCAGTGGTTTCAAGACAATTACCTATTGGTGATGGATTGGCCGCCTCAATCTCCAGATCTCAACCCTATGGAGAACCTGTGGGAGATCGTCAACCGCAGAATTAATCGTGAAGGTGTTCGTAATAAGGATACAAATCCAAAAGGTCTGGGCAGCGATTCCACAAAGTTTCATTGATCACCTGATCGAATCTATGCCTCGAAGATGCAAGGCTGTAATAGACAACAAAGGATTCGCCACAAAATATTGATAGCAAAATACAACTTGGTCAACATTTTGTGGAGTTACAGTTGTTTTGTCA